TTACCGTAATCGAAAGTCGACTAACTACACGCATCTCTCCGCGCCTTTCTGCTCTCAGCCTGTCCCTGGCATGACTCGTATTACCCCTCACGCCCCCTCCCCATATTTCCACACCACGCCTATGTTTCAATCGATTTTCCCAGTCATCTACATGACTGACTTGACGCCGCTCCAATATAAATACACTGACCTAATAAATAATAATTGGCAAACCAAAGTGTCTTCTTTTGAAGATCGGTCGTTCCTCTAACGTAACATAACTTTCGCAGATGTGGGATGGGCGGTTCGTACGTTACAAGGGTTTTAGTACGAAGCTCATGATTTTTCGTTTGATAGGTCACGAACTGTAGGTTGGCACTTCTGATCGAAATCTCATTTCGAAATATATTTCATAAAACAGTCCGTCAACTGTGGATACCTGTACTCGTGGCGGGTTCTTGAGGCGTTCCACATTGTACTCACACGTCGTGCCTTTTCTACAATACGCGGTCCGAGTTTTGCGGGTTCTCGTGAAGGCATGACCGGAGCTACTTTGCCAATGACAAGACCAAACATCGAGCGATAGTCTAGGACTAAACTGGTACGATGCTAGGGTAGATATACAATTGATTCAGCTTCGACTGCTACTGTGGTTTTGAAAGCAGATGACTGCGTGTTTCACAGGGTGATGGATGCAGGTGTAAGTTTATGACAGGCGGTTCAGCGTAGCGAATTCGACAAATCTTATTTTTCATTCGCGTAGTAGATTCGAATCCCGAAATAGGCAAAAACTCACCTTACAGATGCCGCACAGTTAAAATGTTTTGGGGAGACATTGCTGCCAAAATAGATAGTGGATGCGCGGTTTTTATATGCCTCTGGATATGTCCGTGAACACGTCGCGGTACCCCTGTCGTTAGAAAGGTCTGCATGCGACGAGTGCTCATTCGGTCAGTTTTTGATATATGGTATTGAAATAGGCGGAAAAACTCGAAGTTTCTGACCACTTTTGGCTAATAATGATCATCTGAGAGTACCACATTGATGGCCCGTCGAATGAGATAGTACAGACCCACTGTGGCAACATCCCGAGATACCAGGCAGCGGTTTGGGCCCGCTTTTCTTTGTTCACCCTACAAGGCATAGTTGTACTGAATGTGACCCGACTGTCCAACAGGAGGCCACTAAAGGATTAGCGGAAAATCCGACCCGAAACCCTTCCTCGAGATGCGGAGGTGGCTCTTGAGCCTTCGGCCCTTGTTGCTGGGGATGAAGGTAGGTCTAGCTTCCCACATCCCTTGCCGGTGATCTGTGCTCCTGGAAAATTGTCATTCTCAACATCAGTAAGGTCGATTGGTTGAGAGGCATTCTAGGCCATGCCAAGTGCATGTACTCAGTACAAAAACAATGTTTGGAGATGCACAATTTCAGCATGACTGGCTGCGTTTGTGTGCCACCCAGGCATTACTGAAGTGGATGCTACGGATACGGTGTCAACAAAGACAAAACCGGCAAACATCCAATTCGGAAGAAACAAATGACAAGTATTGAATCTCTAAAACAGTAGTACTCGCGATAAGAGCATGAATGTCATGGTTGAAAGATGAAAAGGAACTTTCAGTTGTAAGCGATCTGCCCAGAACGCGACCATACACTTTTATTAACAAGGCATCGGTCTACATCGCACATGACATAAATAATGAAAATCAGCAATAGTCCACCGTCAGTTCAGAAATGTGGAAAAATAAACTCACAGGCAGGACAACTCCGCGAGATGCATCTGGCTGGAGTTCGAACGCGCACATAATGCCGAGGTCACCATGGCCAATATCGGTTAAATTCAAGGCCGCTGGTGAATATATGTGATCCTGAAAAAAAATGCAAGGTAGGCAAGTTTCAGCTCAAAGATTTCAGAAATTGTCGTGCTTAAAACACATCACTTATTACTGTGGACATATTTTAGAAGCCAATTGGACATTCATGACAAGCTAACATGCAAATTACTGGTACGCGATCTGGGAAAAGCAAAGTGAAAGTCAACGCAGTGGGAGAGATGGCAGCGTAGCCAATCCGCCACTGAGCTCCTTGGTCTTGAACCCAGCAACACTAGCTTAGACAGCAAACAGGTAACCACAGAATCGGCTTGTCTGCGACGCACAACCCGCCAAGCAGGAAACAACTCAGCATTTCTACCCATGAATTGGGGCATGAATCGTTAAGCCCAGATTTCGCGCAATCTTTTAGTCTCTCCAAATATCACACCTATGACAATGCGAAATAAACGGTGCTTATGGAAACAAGTGCAGGCGAACGAGATAAAATCACTCCGTTCGACGTCATTTCACGATCACGCAGTCAGGTGTCTTGTTTTTGCTCCCTTTGGCCCATAGTGTCAAAAATCGAATATGTGCGAGGTGTCATAGAAGACACCCGGCATTTCTTACCAAATAACGTGCATTGTGGTGTGATGACTCACCTGACGTCTTGGTTACTCGCTGTTGTGCGACAGATGTGTGACAAAGGACATTCGCTTATTCATACCACTGACATGGTACAGACTCCTCCGACTAGCGATATTTCAAAATTCATTTACAAGGCCTCAGATATCTTAAGTTGACAGATTATTGGCACATGACGGGAAAACGTTCATCTACATGACCAACAAGCAAACTGTTTTCGACGAATATAAAAGCTTAGGTGTTAAAACGATCCCCGACCAAGGAAAAGACTCTTCGCACAAAAGGCCTGAATGTTCTAATTGAATGTATTCAAACAGCAATATTCAAGTACTTCACTGTTGCCAATTAATCCTAAAAGTGAGACTTGAATTCGTGAAATCCTTTAACTAAAGACTACACAAGCAGTTTCCATATCTTAATTTAAATTGTAGAAAACAATAAAGCCAATAACGATGTTAAATGAATAACCGCTAGATTTCTAAGACACTGGAAATACAAATGATATACCGCATGAGCAATGCCGGTTGTCAGTATGGAGAGGATTAGAAGGAGAATAAACGCCATGATGCTCATACACACTAATTAGAACAGCGCGTTTGCCTAACAGCTTATTTAAAAAATAGTTTAAAAGTTCCAACAGTCGAGCTCTTCTGTAGTAGTCCGAATCCTTTACAGTTTACTACCGCTTTATAAAAACCTATACGAGTAGGAGTCAGGAGCCAGGTCAACATATGTTGAGTAGACATGCTAGAGGAGGTTTCCTTGAATACTTGACTGCAGCGGAACAGGCACTTTATGCGGGAAATCTGAGAGCAAAACCCATGAAAAATAATATTTAAGCACAAAACAATAAGTTTTAAAGTGATTACAAAAAGTTCAGTTAAGTTTGACATTGAGCGTGATTTAGTGGTGCAACTATGATGCCCACAATTGTGCTTGGAACGACTCAGTATTTTCACCATAAGAGGCTAGGATAGGGAATTCATAGCAGTCCTGTATCCCAATATATAAGAGAAATACGCAAGGCCAAGCAGATTATTATCTGCCCATATACTGATGAAAAACACACACATAATCACGCAATAGTTATGTCATCTCTCGACATGGAGTATGTAGGTCAAACTTCATATACTAAATTTCTCATCTCAGTTTGTCGTAACCGAAAATTTTCCGCGTATTTGCTCAAACGTACTAATGTACACGAAACAACCGGTTTTGACTTGCGACGAAGCACGTTCTCATTTTAGGCTGTCTAATGTCCATGGTCCATAAATTGCTAACATGCCCCTGAATCCGTTCTTGTCATGCCTAATAAACATCTAGGAGTTATTTCTCGTTCGCCCACTGCAGAACGTGGATTCGTCAGCGCGAAACACAGCATCAAAAAGGACCACCCCGGAGCTTTTAAGAATAACCCGGAAGGACTCTCACCTTTTATAACTACCTGATACTGAAGAGGTGTTTACTTTTCGCGAATCTGTACAACAATCCGCATTTGTCATCATTTCCGTTCTTTATTCGGTTACTTTTCGTGGGTGACACACAACATCACACCATACAGCTGCATGTTTTCTGTACGTATCATTAAGTTCAATTTTTTAATTAGAGATTATATTACAAGCAAATATACGACCATTAAATATAAAATTGACATGACTTCTTTTGAATGTGTACATATTTTTCACGAAAACGACCGAATTCATCAGCTCTTCTTCGCGCCGTCAAAGCTGTCCACGGTCCTTTAATCAAAGCAACTGTTCCTTTTCTCAGCCCCGACGGAATCACCCTTCTCATTAAGAAGATAAAAATTCTGCAGCGATTTCGCGAGCACTTAAGAGGCGTCCATAACTATCCCTCCACCATCTCTGGCGCCGCAATCGCCCGTTTGCCTCAAGCGGAGACCAACGCCGACATTGAACTCCCACCCTATCCACACGAAACCACCAAGCCCCGCAGTAGGTCTCCAGTGGTAAGGCGCCCGGATGGGATGCGATCCCTGCTGAGATCTGCGAGCACAGTTGCACCCAACTAATGGATCATTTGACGGCACTTCTTCAGAAGGTGTGGCGTCAAAGAAGAGTCCCGCAGGATTTATAGGACGTCACAATCGCCCATCTCTACAAGCGGAAAGGTAACCACTGGCTCTGCAACAATCATCGATGCATCTCCTTGATTAACACCATCGGGAAGATCTTGTCTCGCATCCTCCTCAGCCGCCTAAATCATCTTCTGCCTGGACGTCAGTGCGGCTTCCGCCCTAATCGTGGAACCACCGACATAATCTTCGCCGCCCGTCAGCTGCAGGAGAATTGTCAGAAGATTAGGCCCACAACCACAGTCCATGCACTCTTCTTCGCTGATGACTGCGTTTTCAACGCCACCGCCGAAACGGATGTGCAAAGGAGCATGGATCTGTTTGCGCCGCCTTCGACGACTTCGGCCTGCTCATCAACACGGAGAAAACCGTGATCATTCATCAGCTGTCACCCGACGCTGTCTACGTCCGTGTGCAAAAAGCAGGCGTGGAGAATCAATCACCTTCACGTCAGCTGTCTTTGACGGATGCTGAATCTGAGATGGCAACACTGGACCCCGGACACTGATGTGCTGGAGTGGACGGGAATCTCATCTGCGCCCACCTCGCAGCGCAAAGGCTCCATCGTCCCTGACCTACCCACACTGCCAGCAGACACTCCGAGCACCGATCGGCCTTTTGGTCATCTTCGTACCAACTTCAAAGTCCTGACGACACCAGCTGCTGTCTCCCCGAACAGCTCTGCCTCATCCACCACGCCGACAATTAACACTGATCGCACTCCCGAACCGCCACTAACATCCTCCTCCCTGTCCTCCTCTATTGCCTCAAAATCCGCTACGGCGGCTCCTGTACCCACCATCACTACACACAATTCTGACACACTGACAAACATTCAACCCACTCACCAACAGTTCCACTAATGTGGACTCGATTCATACCAGTCCTCATTGCGACTGCACCTTTACATCACATATTAGCCTGGTTGGTCACTTGCGAATTGATCGCAAAGAGAATGGCGAACCAGTGTCCGGAACGCAAACCTACGCTTGCTTATTCACCTCCTCTCTCCACATCGCCCCGCAAGTTTACTTATCGCATAGGTCTATTAGGTCACATTCGTATCCACGAGAGTGGAGTTGACCCCAGTCCCGACACATATAGCACCTCTGACACATCCACCGTACTTAGCCCAACCCACACTCCGCCGCCCGGCACGCCCATCGCCATCAACTCCTCCGCATTCAGCTCACAGAGTAGAATAGGTTTATTAAAGCACCTCTTGGACACTGCCAGTCTCTTTTGAACACACGAAATAGCCTAAACCAGACTCATCCAATTCGGCTGCACTTTGATTTTATTAGGTCTGTGTGCCTGCTGAACCAATAGAGCGCAAATTCAGAGTTTGTTTTAAGTCAAAAAATGAGTTCTAAGGCAAAATAATAACAAAGTAAGAAAAAAGTACAATATATACAATTTAGGAGTTCTGTAGGACTTGGGATCATGAATAATTCGTTGCTCGTGGAAATTGAAGAACTTTGACATCAGCCTGACATTTAAATTGTGTTTGAGTTCAATAAATTTCGTGTCGGCTAGCCGCCAGTTGTCTGTTAGGCCCGAAAAGGCAGGGTTATTTTAAAGGGACAGATAAAGGGGCAAACGGAAAAAATGGACAGGAAATTTAGTGTCGAGGATTGAGTGTGTCTCTTCTCCTTTGATGTTTTTAGACGAGGACAGTGGATTGAGTCCGGATACGAGACACGAATCGGGGGATATTGTGCCTCCTTAGCCACAACTTTAATCTCCAAGTGTTCTTCTTTCCTTCTGTTTTGCGAAACTTATGAGCGCCTGTGACGATTCTTTTCCCCATTCCTATATCTGCATCTTCTCACCAATATATGGCTTGCATTTTGGATTTCCTTTAATTACTCAGATCATCCTTTTTTGTTTGAGTCACTGTTTGTCCGCGTGATGATAAGATCCAAGGCTAACCGTTCAAGAAAGGGAAAATCAATCATGTCTCTATCCTGCTCCATCCAACCGGCAGACGTTAGCTCGGAGGTAGTCGGTCAGTCAGAAGAGCCGGACGGTTCACCTATTTGGGCATTTTCTAAGAGTTAGTCGTATCCTTCGTTCATTTTTAACAGGAGGCTTACCATGGTTGTTTTGACTAGCAGCTGGAAAAGATGAATATATGTCAAGAGCAATGAACTTTCGGGATTTATTAACAATCCAAGATATCAAAATAATATTGAATCATTCTGAATGATAGAGAACACGCGCGGCCCAGTAAGGGTAAACTGTCCTTGTTAGCTGAACACGCCTCCTCGTCTGGACACCGATTCAGCTTTCCGTGCGTGAGAATATTGGGCCCGTCGAACGACCGATTTGTTCGCCTGCTATAGGGCGCGTGGCAGTCAACCGAGGACTTTTCATCTTTTGGACGATGGGCTCGCGTGATAGTCCGAAACGTGGGATAAATAAACAATTTGTCCCAACGATCGCCATCCCGTCTTCTTATATTGACATTGTACGGGTATTTGTTGACTGTTTATTATGATCTAATATAACTGTACATAGGTTTGATTTGGTCTTAATATAAACTTACGCACAACTAAAGTGTAGAATATTATCCAAATGTACGTTAGTACGAGCTTCTTAAGGAATAATTGGTGTCACATGAGTCAGCTGATGGAAACGAGAAACGGAAAGAAGGATATCTCTATTTGTTCTATGCTTATTATTGATGCCGTCTATTTTAAATAGAATTGCTTTTAGTGGTATGTCATTGTGTTATTCGAGTGGCTGGCTACACCAGAACCCCCCTGGACCAAATTCTGTATTAAAGCATTGGTTTGAAAAATGTCTCATTTTATTCAAAAATAAATGTGTACTGTTACTTAAAAGGAATTTCGCAGTTTTTATTTTATATTCGGTAAGGTTTCTACTTTTCCCGACAGAACTCTGGAGGGCATTCCAAATACTCGCATATCATATGGAGTAAAAAGTCGATCGTCGAGACTGTTTGAATTTGGGAATCCATATAATATCTTCGTTATTTCTAGTGTTCCGGGGGTTGTATTGGTTTGTTAGTAGATTTATTTTGGGAATATTTTGGTCATATGTGACCTTGAATAGGAAGGTTAGACCATTTTGAAGTCTTCTGATCCAGAGGGGTCGGAGACTGTATTCATGATACAGTTCTAAGTATGAACCGCATATAAAAAGTTTTGGTTGAGGCCGACATGGACGATAAGTCTTGTACATACACGAGGAATAGAAGGGGACGCAGGATAATGTCTTGAAATATTCCACACGTAATACGGGATAGTTCTGAGACTACGTTTCCAATCTGCACAACTTGATCTCGGTTTTGAAGGTAGGGTTTGAGAAAGTCGAGAAGAGGTGGCCTAATTTCATGACTTTTTAGATTTATCAGTGGTTTTTCATGGGTAACATTGTCAAAGGCCTTTTTAGGTCGAAGTAAATTGCAGCGACTGCGTTTCCATCATCTCTGTTGTCTGAAGCAAATTGTAGTCAAGTGAGATGGTAGGACTGACATGACGTTTTAGGTAAGGATGGAGGGGGAATGAGGTTAACGCTTATGAGATGATGTAGCAATTGGTTGTAAGCTGTATTCTCGAGGATTTTAACTATTGCCAGTGTTCGGCAAACACCACGATAGCTTTGGGTAGGAGGTCGGTTTTCGCTTTTAAATGGAGGTGTAATGCTTGAGTATTGCCAAACGTCTGCAAAAATTGCACTTAACTGGAGTATGGAAAATAAGTTAGATAGGAGCATTAGAGCGCATGTCATTCGCTTTAGAATGCATGGCGGAATCTTGTCCGTCCCAAGGGAGTTGAAGTTAGACAGTTGTTTGACAGCTACTTAAACAGTCTCTTCACTAAAGCAGATCTCACTAAGGGTGCGTTCTGCCATCTCGGTCGGGTGAGGTATCGGTTCGTCCTCGACTGTGTAGTTATTTGAGAAATATTTGTTGAATAGATTTGCTATCTGATTGTCGTTTATAATAACATGTCCTGATTCATCAATCATAGGTCGGGGTCCAGACTTTCGGCGGCTATTCATTTGTTTTTGAAAAATTTGAGCTGCTCGTTCTGGGGGGGGGGGGGGTTAGTGCCTGATTTTCTGGTGAAATGGTCCTTTGTGTTTCTATTTTGGTAACTAGGTAGCGAATTTCTCTAATTCGTCAGAGTGTGAATATATCACTTACAGATGGTTGTGTAGCCATTTTTTTGGTTTCTTGGAAAGGAAGTTTGGGATTAGCGGTTTCTTATACGAGGATCAGTATAGGTCAGTATATTTTAAGGGTAATAGACAATGCCTTTGAAAACCCTATTGTTAACGGTACATGCAATATCTGACTTTAAATAAACATGGTACTAAAATGCCGTCAGTAATATATACACTTAACAGAATATTTTCATTAAAAATGCAGGACCGAAACTTATGAACATTTAGTTTTAGATGATATCGGAAAAATGAAATGACAGCCATCCTCATTAGCGGTAGGTGTATGCAAGGCGCTAGTTTGGCACCACAGAGTTGTTCTGTCCAGACAAGCGGTATTGTCGAAGCAAATATACATCTAGTCTTTTCTTGAACGTCTCCGTGGTATCCGCCATTATTGCGTCCTCGGACAGCCCGTTCCAGGCACCGACGACTCGCTGTGAAAAACAGTATCTGCGAACGTCCAGGCGGCATCGAGATCCTCTAAATATTTAGAGAGTTCCCGCGGAGGTTTGTTGTTGTAGCCAGGGTGAAGAAATCATCGAGGTTTAGTGTACAGTCCCGGTTCTTCAGTATCCGATACTCCTGTATGAGATATCCTCGAATCTGCCTGTATTCAAGAGGAAGAGTTTAAGTTCATTAAGTCGACAGTTGTACGGTAAAGTCCTGAGATTTTTCACAATTTTTGTCTCCCTCCTCTGAACTTTTTCTAGCAGCTTGTAGTCTTTTTTTGCCACGGGCGCCACGCGTGGATCCCATATTCCAAAAGCGAACGAATGAACGCTCCGTATACTTTTCCAAATAACTCTTTGTCTATGTCTATGAAAGTTTGTTTAATTGCAAAGAGAACACTGGTTGCCCTTTTGGCCGCCCTAACGCACCGAGAGGACGGCTTAAGTGTCGACAAAATGTTTATCCCAGTATCTTTTTGTTCGGTTACACTTGAAAGGCACCTTCCACTAAGCAGGTAATGGTGATCCTCTCCGTCGATTCTTCCAGTCGTTTTGAGTCTCAGCGCGACGCACTTCTCAAGGTCAAACGTCAGCAGCCATTTATCAGACCATTCGCATAGGCGGTTCAGTCCTTCTTGCAGGGCCCGTTCATCATTTTCCCCGTTGATCGCTTGCCATAACTTGATTTCATCGACAAACGTGACTCCATTGCGGTCCAGTCCATTCATACAGTCGTTGACATAAATCAAAAACAGTACTGGTTCGAGTACAGAGCCCTGAGGGATTCCACTCACAACTGACACTGGCGTTGATTGCGCACTACCAATACACACAGACTGTGATCGACCAGTCAGAAAGTCCTCTACCCAGTTTAATTGGTTTTCCCTTATCCCTGACTCTCGGACCGTGTAAAGAAACCGGTGGTGTGGAACACTATCAAAGGCTTTCTTGAAATCGATGTGAACTGTATCGACCCTTGTTCCTTCGTCTAACGAGCGGCACCAGTGTTCCGTTCAATAGAGCATATTAGTTAGGCAGGAGTGATTTCGTCAAAAGCCATGTTGGGAACTAGCAATGAAATTATTTTCTTCAAGGAACTTCATTATGGATTTTTGACTATCCACCCTTGTAAATGAGATATATGGTCGCCACTTTCCAATCAGAGGGGAGAAGGCCTCGGCCAAAGGACGACCTGAAGATGTGCAAAAGCGGTCTGGCGA